TGGCGTGAAACTTCGCTTCTGCTTTAGCGTGGTTTAAGAAACAATGGCGTGAGTAAGATTCTGCAACCAGAATATAGCTGACTTTGATAGGTAGGATTTGTGTACACTTGCAAGTGCATTCCGGAAATAGTTACATGCTTAGTCTGCATCCGGTTATACTTCGGGGCAGCCTCGACAATTCTGTGGGAATGGTTACACACAATGCACAATCATCTTTGGAACCAAGGAGAAAAAGTAAAAGAGAGGGAGATTTTTCTTCCATGGTTTGAATGATGCTTGTATCTGAGCATGTGTATTACCGTACAAGCATTAGGTTGCACCACATCATTCATAGTTCTCTTCGGTGAATAACTGTCGTATTCACCGATTTGGTATGTCACCTGGGACACTCGAAATTGCATTCCAAGGAGTCTTTGTGCTTCGCATTGGAAGTTGAGTGACCGAAGGGAGAAGCCAAAAAATTTGAATCAAACCGCACCAAAGAACAGTTGTAAAAGCTGTTGTTTTGGGCAGGAATATAGTAATCCCCACAGTTATAGCATGAAAGTTGAACCATGGCAGAGGCCGTGGAATCGGACTTGGAATCCGGTTATTATCGGTTAGACGGCTTGAAGAAAGGGCTTCGTAGAGAAAGTAGGAATCTGATACGGGTCGCATTTTGCCAACAACGATTGAAATTTCATCTTCAAGTCTATTTCAGCAAAAGTGGGTCGAAGGATCAAAAGAGGTGTTCACTCCGCGCTCGTAGCACTAGTCACTCTTCCAGCCACCATCGACTCCTACAACGATTTAAAAAACAGAATCTGTGCTTGAAACTTCCACAATGAGATTGCTAACATGCTTCATGTAAGCAATCATGTGATCTGGATATGCATTGATCTCACTTATCTACTGTATTCATGACGAGCCTCATGTTTAGGTTGCAGCCATTTCTTCACACAACCAGAAATCTGGGAAATAATGTAGTATAGCTCCTTAGCATAAACAGAAAATAGCGTAATCAGCACGTAGAGTAGCTCTACCACATGTTATTTGAAATCTGATGTCCGGATCTATTGGTTTCTAATATATTAATTCAATTTTTTTCAGAATCAGCGGAAAAAGTGGGCCCTGTCAAAAGACAAGGGACACAAGAATATCACATTGCTTTATCATAGTTATCTATGACATGAAAACAACTTTCTTGATAAATGAGTGAATGACTTAGAATTTAATTGGATAAACTTTGTGGTTACAAAATGAATGTAACAATACAATCCCAAATATCCTATAGAAAAACTTGACTACCTATAGTTCAGTTTTATTTCTTACTTTAGCTGAAATAATCAAATTTTTTTGGGGAAAATATACGAAAATCTATAAGTAATACATTAAATTTCCATATCCAATTAATATCAATGTCTCTATACTTATTCCATACATATTTTAGAATAACATTTTATATTGGTATCGAAAGTTGCATATAGTAGCTTTCGAATTCAAAGTTTTCTAGAAAACTGTGAGAATGTTTAGGCTTGCTGTTTAATCTCATCTTTGTACACCATTTATAGCTTATGCTAGGATATTGTTGGCCTCACGTATTGAAGGAGATAGAGTGGACCCATAGGTCGGCTTGCTCTTCCTCCTTCGAATGTTAGCGTGCAGTAGATGACGAGAGAAATGGCGACACGTCCACTTGTACTTCTTAATCGATCCGTTTCCAAGGTACATCCGCCAGTCTTTGAATCCTCTCCCGTAACTTTGTCGACCTCGCGTGCAAAATGAGAACATTCTCGTGGTTAAGTGGGAAGGCAATAGGACCTGAGAACTTTCCAGCGTATAACAAAATGGCCGAACTTGCTAAGTATCCCGATGGCTGTCGCATTCTGAAACGAACCACTGAAAAACCACTCGTGGAGAACAAAAACTGCAGGGCAAACGTGATATCAGTTTACCACAGTCGGTAAGATTGATGTGTAGCCAGACCCGCGAAGTTCTATGTTCGCTGGAGAAGTTTTGGCGAAAATGAATTTTCAGTTCAAAATTCCGCAGTATTTTTCGGTATATTGTCAAACTTGCTGTCGCATTGCCGGCAGACTGCACAAAACAGCCAAAAAAGATTCGGTGACGACACTTGATACCTGCAAACTCACACCACCCGATGGTTGGCAGCTCAAACAAAGATTCATCATGTTTTTGATGATTTGGGACAAAATAATCGTAGGCTGCATCCCTTGAATGTGTTCAATCACAAGATTGATTGAATGTGGAACTTGTAATATTCTCCTCGAAACTAGCATCACTCGATTGACAACTTCTGATTTCTGTACACCAGATCAATCAGACTAAATTTTATCTTCAATTCGATGTGTTATGGTTACTGATTTCAACTGGCCAATTGGTGAACTCGCATAAATATGAAATTCTCAGCAACCACCGATCATCAAGTTTTCGTCAATAGAATCCATCCTTACAGCTGGATATCTCAAAAAGTGTCAGAAGCGATGGGACCAAGGTCAGGATCCACCATATTGGCGATGTATTGAATCGAAGCTGCACGACAAATTGGGAAATAAGATTACAGTCAATGAAGAAGAAGACATCTTCGTCAAAAGGCACCAAATCCCCATCTATCTTGCGACTTGAATGACTTTTCATCGACAGTGGAGCTTACTTATCCTATTCAGTGTAGCAAAGCAACAACCTACATCGAAAGAGCAAATCTGATCTGGATCAGAATGGTCCTTTGGAGGTAGGTGGTTGCATGGGCGTAAAATTCCTGCTAAATGATAATATCAGTAGATTGTGTGGTATTCTTCTATAAAGCATACTATATATTGTCGTTAAAGTGTGTTGTCTTCGATGATCCACTACTGTAGTTAATATTAGAAGCGCAGTGTGCTTCTCATGCCCCTCAGAGGTCTAGAACACCAGTGGATGGAACAACAATATCCAAAGTACTAATGAAGGTCACATGCAATCAGAGTAGCAATACTTAAAACTTTTAGACGTGCTGTGGATGAGATTCATTTTTACTTCCAAAGGGCTTGATCCAGTTGACCGATTAGCACCCATGACTAGAAGAGAATCTCCAGTCACTCATAAAGAAGAATTCTCATCTCATTTGTTTTTCATCTTGATTAAATTTTGTGAATCCCTTTTCTACCCTACACCTCCATCATTTGCTCAGATTATTGCAAATCTGAATCTTACCCTCGCATAATTTTTGAGCTTTGCCATCTTCATTGGCACCGAAAAAACCAAGGATTTAATTACAATATCTTCCTGTTTCATTCATTTTCATAAACTGAACATTATTGGTTGCATGTTCATTGGTTATGAAATCATAAGGCTTATAACTGATGAGGAAGGCTGATTTATCGAACATATTGTTAATATGCTGACTTTATCTGGCAACAATGCTTTAAACAAACGGAAACACTTTGTATCAAATCCCGCGCGACTTCTAGGTATGAATACTTATGTTCGACACTAGATTTCCGATATGTCCTACTAGATTTGCACAAGGTACGTGCACATCCCCTGTTCTGGTAAGTGCAACTTTTTAATTTAGAGTTTGACCGTTTTGCCAACCTTACTGACTTCGAAAACACGCCCACCAAAGTACATTCAGAGATGTGAAAATGTAGATGACCTTATATACTTCTATGGTCATAATATTCATCGTGTTCTTCAGGAAGTTTACTCCCGTAAGAATCAAAGTTGCAAGCGAGACCGGAGCCTCATCTACAGCACGCAGGTTTAGTCGAATGTACTGTAAAGATGATGAGGCGATTTCTGATCACATTCCTGGTGACATTGATGTGGTTTATGTCCATGACTACAATCTGCTTACCTTTTGTCCTTGGAGCTCGAGCAATCCATCGTCGATGATTTCGAACTCAAGTCTCTTGGCTGTAAAGAAGTTCTTGCTCGTTCCCCACTGGACTTGGAGTCCTTAAATACACTTCAAGTGGATTCTCATTATTCCTGGGCCACCTCCCTTTTACGTCTTTCCTGGTCGGCCTCCTTATCACACTCCCCTTTCTACTAGCCCTCCTCCAACAGCTACTCTTCTTATTCCTCCTCCTCCTAAACTCAGACATCATACTTTTAAAGACTCCACCTCTCCCGACTCCTCTTACTCCTCAATTTGTTCTTGTTACAGAACGCACTTCTCATCCCATATTACAGCAATCTCCTTCTGTCTTTCCATTCCATCTTTTCCTCCTCCCGTTACCGAACACTCTTCCTTCAAAATTTCATCGTTCTCCCGTTTCTTCATTGTTTCGACCTCCTCCTCCTCCACCTCGTACCAAGCAGTCTCCTCCTCTCAGTTTCCATCATTCTCCTCCTGGTTCTTCATTGTTGCGATCTCCTCCTCCACCTGTTACCAAAAAATCCTCTCCAGCAGGTTTTGCCAATTATACTCCTGTGTTTTCATCGCTTCAACGTCCTCCTCCTCCTCCTCGTCTGCTTATCCAAGTTTTGAATACTCTCAACCTGTAACTTCAATATTTCCTGTAACTGCGGAAATTGTAAAGTTCTTCGGAACCTTCGGTCAATATTTCCATCTCCTCCTGCTGGTTTTCCTCCTCCTTTTGCAAGGGTGGGGGTTTATGCCACCCTTGCCATTCGAAGATAGATGTTTACACTTATCATCTTCCTAGAAGTAAAATAAAATTTTGAGCAAGAACTAGATAATATGAACATTAAGCACGATCATACTTGCTCCCTTACAACATTCTAGAACAAATGGATTCGATATAATGCAAATGATCGAATCCATATCAAACAATATATCAAAATCGCTTGCGAAATGTGAAATTCGTGGTAGGTTGAAGGAACACATAATGAGAAATAAATACGATTGAAAGGCGTAGAGATTTTGATCAAACATTATCTCTATTTATTCTTTTGAAAAACAATCATTGGAGAGCTAATAATTTAACCCTCATTTGTGTCAGAATGATCTATCAAAGCAATGTCTAGCATTAAGAGAATATGAAGTGTGTAGAGTCTTGATTCTTTCAACATTGAACTGAAGATGCTTGTTTCATCTGGGTTTGCACTTTATGTGGCTCTTACTGCAATGCTGATTGATGGATATGGTCCGTATGCATTGAACTCCCGAAGAAAATGGAAACATCCTCTCCTCAACATCTAACCCCCTATAATCTGTTCTCTTCTCCAGGAATTGGGGCATAATTCCCAAGATGAAGATCCCTGCCAATACTTCAATAGACTCAGGCACTTGAACTGTAATGACCAGACCCCATAACGCATCTCATATCGCACAGCCTTTACGGTACATTGAGCAATCTCTCAGGCTTGTCACATACTACATACCTTACCCACCCTGGATCTCTAACTCGTGAAGATCGTCCATATTGACTACTCTTCAGTGTTTCTGACTGCATATGTCCATAACAACATGTGAAGACCATACCGAAGATCTGAAGTGCACACGCTGGTACAATCAAGCGATTCCTTCTACATGCATCACTCTCTATGTTATACGGTATTCCGAGAGGGAGTGTCATTGACACGACCAGAGGGACCTCCCCATAGTAACCGGCGTTCCAGCACCTCTGATTTTTTATGGGCTACCACCGTCACTAATGCAGTACGCTTCTCAAACGGGTCGGGTACATGAGAGTACATTTGGTTCTCATCTACATTGGGGGGGCACGAAGTACTCGACATGACCTAAGACAGGTGTCATACATGGCAAATAAGACATTCTGAGCTCTGGATCTAGGACTGATTCGTAGGAGAGTTGGAAATGAAACGGGTCCTGGTACCACAACGTCAAAAGCGCCAGCACCTCCATGACATTCGCCTCCAGGAGCCTCTCTGCATCCTCCGTTGTAGGTGGCCTCCCACTAATCAGATGTTTCCAGCAACCAAGCTGAGATGTGTGCCTTCTGAGCCTGGCACACAGCCCTGGACAATGATGAAGGCGACATTTCGACGATGCTTTGAGAAAGGAACCATCTCTCTGCTTTCGAATTGGCTTCAAGTGCTTTGCTAACTTCTGTAACAACCTGAACCGAGGATGGGCAGCGGCATCACCTTCTTTGAATTTGCCATCGTCGTCCCTTGAACAATGGTAGATCTCTGCCCCCGATATATCTTCAAGCTCGTTCATTGTGAATTCTTCATTCGCAGCAGCCAAGAACACCAACTTTATTTCAACACAGCTGTAATCATACAACAAGAGTCTACTGTCAGTGTGTCTGTAGATGAGGATGCTATGAGTGTAGTGTTCGACAACACCGCGACTCTTGATATGGATGATATAGTTCTTGACAAGGTTGCCGTCCACTCTAGCTGTCGTGACTACCACATTTTGAATGCTCCTTTGCTCGTTCCATGCCTCACTCAACGACTGCACAAGTTTGCGTGTCAGTCTGTCGATATACGGGATCTGCACAGTCATACCGCAACCAAGAGCTGACACGCCGAAGGTTAACTGCTGATTTCTGGAAAATATCGACGATAACATTTGCGCCGGATCGATTCCACTTTGTCTCAAGTGAACACAAAAGTTCTGAAGTGCTTGCATACCAGGTACCACGCTGTCGTCCGTATTGGTTTGTGTCTTCTCTCTGACAACGTTGAGAAAAGCGCCAGCCAACTCGTAATTCCTGAGCAGGACCTGCTCCATCGTTAGAAAAGATCCCGCAGAGTACTGGACCTCCGTCATGCCATCCACCAAGCTGTGGGTAGCCAGGACCGGGGTGTATGACATGTTTCCACTATAAGGGTATCTATTGGCGACGTGGAGATTAGCTGTGGATCGCACTTCTCCATTGAATCCATTAGTCCATCTTTGCACCCTTGTACACAACTGGCTCAGAGCTGGGAACGCTACTGGCGAAAGGTCTCAAAATTCTACGAACGCTAGCTCGAAGTTGAATCTGTTCATTGCTGCCTGCCTGGACCTTCCTGCCTTGTGAAATTAACTGGGCGACGAAACGAACATCTTCGAGTAGATCTGGCGTATTGTGGCGGCTATCAGATTCGTCCTATCGTGTACATCGAGATCAAAATCAAAATTGAAGTCAACGAGCGCTGACCAATGGTTATCGATGCCAAAACATTCTCACCCTGTTTTAGCTTAAGAAAAAATGCTGACAGACTGCTAGCAAGTTGCTCTCTTTCCTCATCTGAGATGACAATTTCCTCTCTCGAGCTCGACTTGTCAGTTAGCAATCTGTGCTCCAGCGGCGGCGGCGCAACGACATTGATAAGCTCTCCCCTTGTTAAATCCAAGGAAAACTGATCTGCCATTGCAACGAACTGATCCTCCTGCCTGCTGCGACCTCCTGCGACCTTTCATCAGTTCGACTTTACTGCATCTTTTTGATTGTGTTCCGGTCTATAACTCGAGCTATTCAGATCGACTGAAGAAAATGAACTCTGTGTCTCGAACCAGCTCTTGAGAAGCGCACATTCATGAGAGTGGAACAGAATGTCCGCAGTTCCAGTTCACGTGCGTTGATGCAGACCTTGATAATTTCATCGCCCTTGCGTGGTTGTTTCTTGACAGACGCAATGACGAGATCAGAGGCTCCTGTCATGTTGACTTTTCGGTTACTTTCTGTAATAACCCACTAAAGGCTAAAACTGCAATATAGTGGTAGAAAGGTCGAACCCACAGGGACAGAGGAACACACAGGGTACAAAGTGTCACGTTTAACAGACTATTGAGGAGTTTGAATTCTCAGGCGACTGTCACTCCCAGAAATACTGCAAGTGTCCACTCGGAGCGCACTCGGAGGTCGCACAGTGCAGCGTAACACACACACACACAAACACACACCTGAAACTACAGAAACACAACCTAGAGATCCGTTAGAACCTCTACTCAAGATTTCAGGGGGAAAGTCTCTCACGAGTGCACTCGGCGAAGCTGCGGGTAGTGACTCCCAACTCCGGCTTTTACAACACTTCCACTAGCTTGCTGCTAGTGCAGGAAACCCGGTTTGGACTACCTACTTCGGATCGAAGTCACTCATACGCGGTGAACAACACTCTCAACTCACAAAACGCGCAGAGAACACAGGTCCGCACTAAAGGACTCACTGAGAAACATTCCAGTAACACAATAACAGTCTATTGAAGAGTTTGAATTCTCAGGCACTTGTCATTCCCAGAAATACTACAGGGGTTACCCTGAAGGCACCTGCTGCAGCGTAACCTGAATTTACAACCAAGGCTTACACGAAGTAACAAAACTTCACTTTGGCATTCAAGGGAAAAATCCCAAAGGAGTACAATCAGGAACAGACACTCGAAGGTATAGGGGCGAAACTATTCAAGTATCTAACTAGTCACTTGCTCTGAGCATCGGCAATCACCCGCAGGTGTAGATCCGAACTACTTAAATCTCTAACCAATGTACTAGCTCTGAACATTCGGCCGAAGGCCTTCAGCTACAAAATGCGGAACGCCAAGTGGTAGCTCCCCTTGCGTGGTGACAGAACTAAGGACACAAACACGCAGGGAAAATGAGTTCCTGATCTGCACTTCCGAAATTGGGAAAGAACCCAAGGCAAAACGCCTTGAACTATTTTATACCTTCTAAGTCCTAACTAGCACTACACTTCACTACGCTACACGCCTGCACGGAACCACGCTACACTACACTCCGCGGAACCTGTGCTACGTCTCCTGCGCGACGGACTGCCGCGCACTAACTCCCTACCCTGCCAGTCTTCCGCTCGACTGCGCAGTCCTAACCGCTGCAACGCCGCGGACACCTCCACCTCGAGGGTGGACATGGTATCCCGCGCCTTCGACAGAAAAGCGTCTAACTTCTTCGCCACCTTCCGCCGACTCCTGCTGTCACCTGCCAACAACCTTGCTACGCGAAGCTCTAACTCACGCAGTGCGAGTTTCTCCTGCGCCGCCACTTCCCAGTGGGCGTAGCCCTTGAGACAGTGGGCGACACGCCTCGCCATCTCCTCCTTCGTGCGATCTGCCTCTCGCCTGCGATCATCTTCAATTACCACCAACTGCGATTCGGCCTCCGCACGCTGCGCTCTCAATTCCCCACACTCCGACTGTAGCCTGCGGATTAAATCCTCATCCGCCTGTCGTGCGAGCTGACACTCCGCCAACAAATGCGTCTGTCGCACGAGCTCCTCTGACAGAATCTGATTCTGAGTTCTCTCAGACATCAAATCTGTCGTGGTCTTCACCACATCCCTGGTGAGCTCTTCCAGTCTCTCCTTCTTCATCCTGTCGAGGGCGTGCGATTTCCTCACAAGGTTGTACTGACCCCACAAACAGGCATGCTTCTCCCTCAAGTCCTTCAACTCCCGGTCCGTTCTAGCTAGTAGCTTGCTAGTGTGGACTTTAGTGCGAATCCGCCTGCGCACTAATTCGATGTAGGATCCCGGCTGGAGTGGATCGGCGTATTTATCAAATTTGCGATCCAAGTACTTCAGCAACGGTATCACCTGCTCAGAGAGCGCCGCCGCCGGTTTAACTCACACGCTCGAATTGGCGAATTTGAACTCCGCGAGCGTACTACGCCGCGGACATGGGTGCGCAGCGCCGAAGGCGGCTTTTCCGCCTTGCGCGGTACACTCGTTCGTACCGCTCCTCAGCCAATCCTCCTCCGCCCTGGTGCTTGTCCGCACGTCGAACAAAAGTTCAACTCCCGACTGTGCGCAGGCGGACTTCTCAGCGGATTCTCCGCCGGCGCGGAACTTCATCCGCCTGTGCGCAGGCGCTCGCCTGCGCGTAGGCGAAGTCCGTCCGCGTCGATGCGCTGGCGCGGAAGGCGTTGACCGCGGTCAACAGCTTCCCCCCAGACTGTCCGTTCCTTGTCTCTCCGTCGGCGCTCTCGCCGCCGCAACTCCGCCCGACCACGAGAGCATCCATCCGTCCCGTCCGTACAGTCCGTACGGATTTTACTATTCTGGCGGCTCCTTGCTCGTCCTCGCCGTTGCGCTGGCGCAGAAGGCGCCGTACAATTTCTACCTCCGAAGGCGCATTTCTAGGGCCAAAGGCGGATTTCCCGCCGACGCCGAAGCGCATGAGCACAGGCGGACGCCTGTGCGTAGGCGAACTTCGCGCCTACATCAAAACCCTATTTTGCCTGTGCGCAGGCGAACTTCCTTCGTCTGCGCATAGGACAAAACTTTCTTCGCCTGTGCGCAGGCGGAAAGCTGAGTATCTTACAACCTTCATAACTCCCGGAGTCCTCATCCGTTGTTGGCGTTCTTGGGCTCGTTGGAATCAGCGCGTTGAGCTCTTTCCAACGAGATCCTAACCAGGTCGAGGCGTTTGGGGGTTGACCTAAATATGAAGGATTTCTCTACCGCCGAGGGCGCAGCGCCGAAGGCGGATTTTGCGCCTTGCGCCGAAGGGATCATACCTTCAGAGCTCGCTGGGAGGGTGGTGCCCTTCCTTGACGCTGCACCCAACTCCTAGATTCTACGAGGTCCCTCGAGAATCTCTGCGATCTTCCGAATTCACTCTATTTTGATGCACCGAAGGCTATTTACACTGCTGCCGTGGTACAGTTTTCCAAAAATGTTTTATTTTCCTCCAAATTACCAAAAGTGGGGTACCACACTTTCGCTAAGCGTTGCAATTCTTTAGCTTTGAGCGTTGGTGAGCCGTCTATTCAGTATTCTTTTCTTACAAAATGCAAGGCCTATCACTTAGACTCATAAACCAAGGAAGCACTGTAATAACCCACCAAAGGCTAAAACTGCAGTATGGTGGTAAAAAGATCAAACCCACAGGGACAGAGGCAACACACAGAGTAAAAAGTGTCACGTTTAACAGACTTTTGTAGAGTTTGAATTCTCAGGCGACTGTCACTCCCAGAAATACTGCAGTGCTCGACTCGGAGGCCACTCGGAGGATGCTCGACTCGGAGGTCACTCGGAGGATGCTCGGAGGATGCACAGTGCAGCGTAGGTCACTCAACACACACACACACACACCTGAAACTAGAAAAGCACATCTCAGAGGTCGGTCAGGACCTCTGCTTAGGATTTCAGGGGGAAAGTATCTCAAAAGTTCACTTAGAGGCTCTGCAGGTAGTGACTCCCACTCCGGCTTTTACAGCCCTTCCGCCAGGAACTAGCGTAGGGAACCCGGATTGGACTTCCCACTTCGGAACGAAGTCCCTCATACGCAGTGGACGTCACCCTCGACTCACACCAAACGCAGAGAGTACAGGCCCGACTAAGAACTCAACTGAGACACAATCCAGTAACACACACACACAACCTGAATTGCAAACCAAGGTTTACACGAAGTAACAAAACTTCACTTTGGCATTCAGGGGAAACTTCCCGTAGGAGTACAATCAGGATATGTCACTCGAAGGAGTAAGGGGAAACTGTTCAAATCTCTAACTCGCAACCGGCTCTGAGCATCAAAAATCACCCGCAGGTGCAGATCCGCACTACTCAAGTCTCTAACCGGTGTACTAGCTCTGAACATTCAGCCGAAGGCCTTCAACTACAACATGCGGTAACTTCACTATGCTGCAGCTCCTCTACGTGGTGCCAGGACCAAATGCACAAACACGCTAAGAAAGTGAGTTCCTGATCTGCACTTCCGAAACTGGAAGAGTCCCAAGGCAAAACGCCTTGATCTACTTTATACCCTCTAAGGTCCTAACTAACACTACTCTGCACTATCTGCTACTCTAAACTCCTGCACGAAACCAAACTACACTACTGCACTCTGCAGATCCGGTGCTGCGCCTCCTGCGCGCCGGACTGCCTCGCACCCTATCTCTACCCTGCCAATCTTCCGACCGGCTGCGCAACCCCAGTCGCCGAAGGGCGGCAGTCACTTCTGTGGTAACACACTTTTTGTTTTTTTTGCAGAATTTAAACAATTTTAGAAAACTAGTACCAAAGCAGTGTTTGTAGCTAGAGAAGGGTACGCTAAATAGAGTGGATTGATGAGATCGTCACGAGGACACAAAAGAATCACGTAGTCGGATGTACCAACGCCAATGTCTTCGGCGCCTTCGGCAAAAGCTCCTTTTCTGAGGTGTCTCTACTCACGCGCCTCCAGCGTATAAGGAAGCTACGCTTCCGGCGCAGACACCTCAGGAGGAGGTTTTGCTAAAGACGTCAGGAGAAGGGCCCGGACCTCTAAAGGCATCCGACCATGAGTGCGCCTTCGGCGAAGCGCCGCTAGCGCGGAAAGGGAAAACCTTCATAACAATCGGGATACACGGTAGATCCAGTTGGTTGAAGTTGCATTAGAAAGAGCTCGGGACGCTCGTTCTAACGAGTCC